CTCGGCCGCCGCGGGCGGCAGCTCTGCGCCCGGTTCCTCCCTCTCTCTCTCGCTCTCTCGCGTCTCTCTCCCTCTCTCTATCTCTCTCTGTCTCCCTCTCTCTCTGTTTCTGTCTGTCTGTGTCTCTCTCTCTTTCTCTCTCTCTGACTCTGTGTCTCTAGATCTTTACCTATACGACCACCCTTCGGGTGATAAGGAGGTTGTGGGGGGGGAGAGGGGGGGCACTGGCTCAATCGATCTCACTATCGATCTCACTCAACGGGACACCACAGGACACCATGGGACACCACGGGACACTTGTCGATCTCACTATCGATCTCACTCAACGGGACACCACGGGACACCACGGGTCACCACGGGACACCACGGGGCACCGCGGGACACCTCTCGATCTCATTATCGGTCTCACTATCGATCTCACTATCGATCTCACTCAACGGGACACCACGGGACACCACGGGTCACCACGGGACACCACGGGGCACCGCGGGACACCTCTCGATCTCATTATCGGTCTCACTATCGATCTCACTCGATCTCACTCGAACTCAACACACCACGGGACACCACGGGACACCACGGGACATCTTGGGACACCACATCGATCTCAGTATCGATCTCAGCATCGATCTGACTCAACGGGACACCACGGGACACCACGGGACACTTGTCGATCTCACTATCGATCTCACTATCGATCTCACTTTTTGGGACACCACGGGACACCTCGGGGCGCCACAGCGATCTCAGTATCGATCTCAGCATCGATCTCACTATCGATCTCACTCAACGGGACACCACGGGACACCTGTCGATCTCACTATCGATGTCACTGTTTGGGACACCACGGGACACCTCGGGGCACCACATCGATCTCAGTATCGATCTCAGTATCGATCTCAGTATCAATCTCACTATCGATCTCACTATCGATCTCACTCAACGGGACACCACGGGACACCACGGGACACCGCCGGACACCGCGAGCCACCGCCAGACGGAGGACGGGCGGGAGGGGGAGAATCATTTGTCGTGACTTCGCCCTACCAACGGCGGACACCACGGGACACCACGGGGGGACACCGCGGGACACCGCCGGACACCGCGAGCCACCGCCGGACGGACGGACGGGCGGGCGCGGGAGAATCATTTGTCTGGACTTCGCCCTACCAACGGCGGGTTCATTCCTCTCGCGCGCCCACGCAGCTTCGCCTCGCCCGCACGCACGACACGAACGAAACGAAACGATTTCCTGGTTGGGCGTCTCCGTTCCACTGCGATCTCACCCCCCAAACTCCGATCATATTTCTCTCTCTCTGGCTCTTTCTCCCTCTCTTTTCTCTCTCCCTCACTCGCTATCACTCACTCTTTCTCCTCTCTCTTTCTCTCTCTCTCTCTCTCTCTCTCTCTCTCTCTCCCCCCCTTTCACTCACTCAATTACTCACTCGCTCTCTCTATCTCACTATCTCTCTCTATCTCTCTGCCTTCCTCTTTCCTTTCTTTGCTTCTCTCTCTCACATTCTCTCGTTTTCTTTCTCTCTATCTCTCTCTCTGTTCTTTCTCTCTCTCTCTCTCTTCCTCAGCGCATCCAACACCATACGCACACACACACACAAACGCACACGCATACCACACGTTTGGCATGGAAAGCAGTATCCTTCCATCCCAACCTCATCCTCCTCGGCCTCCTTTCCACATTTTTCCCTCCCATCCCCTCTCCTTTTCCCTTCGCCCTCGCATCGCCTCCCTTCCCTCCGCGTTTTCTCTTCCTCCGCCTCCTTATTTCCTATCACCAGCTCCATCTGCAGTCCCCTCTCCTCCCGTTCCCCCCCTCTCCTCCCCTCGCCCCCCCCCCAGGCTCCAACCCATCCTCCCTTCCTTCCACTCCTCTTCGTTCCTGCCTCCACGCTCATCGTTCCTCGTTCCTCCTCCTCCTCTTTCTCATCCTCTACCTCCTCCTCCTCCTCCTTGTCCTCCACCTCAACCTCGTCGTCGTTCTCCTCATCCTCTTCCTCTTTCTCCTCCTCTCCCTCCTCTTCCTCTTCCTCCTCCTCCTCCTCCTCATCCTCCTCATCCTCATCCTCATCCTCATCCTCATCCCCATCCCCATCCTCCTCATCCTCCTCCTCCTCCTCCTCATCATCATCATCATCACCATCACCATCATCATCATCATCATCATCATCATCATCATCATCATCATCATCATCATCATCATCATCAGCATCATCAGCAGCATCATCAGCATCGTCATCATCGTCATCCTCATCCTCATCCTCATCCTCCTCGTTTTGTTTCTTCTGGGTTTCATTTGTCCGACTAATCCTCTCTTGCTCCGATCCTCACACCCCCATGGAATACATCTCACTGTGCCACAACGCCGGGCGATACACATTCAATCAGGGTGTTCCTTCCGGCCTGTCGAGAAAATACCAAAGCATGGTCGTCCGTCTCAACATGGACGCCCATGATTTGCGTCGCCCCCGTTGCGTCGTGAGGAGGAGGAGGAGGAGGAGGAGGAGGAGGAGGAGGAGGAGGAGCAGAAGATGGAGGAGGAGGAGAAGGAGGAGGATCTCAACATGGACATGAACCACGTCGCCCCCGCTGCACAGCGCTTGGCAAGGCACGGGGGCGGGGGCGCACCTCCCGCGCCAGAGGCCCGGATGCCGCTCCCCCCCCGGGCGTCGCACCCCATTTTTCCAGGCACTTGACCTAAACGAAGGATTGCAAAAAAACCCAGGATTGCAAAAAAAACCGATTGCAAAAAAAACCGATTGCAAAACAACCCAGGATTGCAAAACAAAAAAACGATTGCAAAAAAACCTTCGTTTTTTTTTGCAATCCTTGAACGAAGGATTGCAACAAAAAAACCCTTCGTTTTTTTGAAATCCTTGAACGAAGGTTTTTTTGCAATCCTTCGTTTTGTTGCGATCCTTTTTCCAGGTACTTGACTTCTCGCTCGGGCGCGGCGCCCGTTTTTCGCGCGCGAATGCAGGGCAGCTTTGAATACATAGGATGTTTGAAAAATATACGACTTTCAATGCGTGATCCATCTATGAACAAATTCATGCATGGACCCATCGTTGTTTTTGATACTAAGTCCCTGCATCTTTATCGGGGATGGACAGACCCCCCTTTAGTAAAACGTGGTTTAGTCAAAACGACCTGAGGCCTAAGCCTGGAGGGCGCAAACCTGGAAAACAACGGCCACGGCGCCCTCTCGAGAACCGAAAACGGACAATTCACTAATCGACGTGTCACTGTTGGGGGTTCTGTCCACCCCCGACTCTAAGACATGATCCGCACGCGGAGCTTGTGCTGAAGACGGCAGCGCACGCACGCGCGCGAGCGGGCGACCATGTCGCCCTCGCCTCGGCGCCGCGCAGATGTTCCGCCTGGAAGTGGCGGTCACGCCTCGGCGGGGCGCGCACGTTCGGCGGCGACCCCCGGGGGGGAAACGAGAAGGGGCGTGCCCTTCTCTAGGGGGCAAACAGACCTACCTCGCTTTTGACCACCCTCGCTTCCAAGAGATGCCAAACGATGCCAAATTGCAGCCTGTACTGGTCAGGCAGCTTGACGCGGAGGCGCGTGGTATGGCTTGGTTTTGCCTGGAAGCGAAAGCGGGGCAGGTAATTCACGCTCTGATTTTCAGAAGGTTACGGGTCGTGCACGGAGGTTCCAGGCTGGTCGAAGGTGTAGTGGAGCCAGAAGGAGAAGCCACAGAAGAAGGAACAAAAAGGCTTGGAAATGCCCCGCTTTCCTGGCAAATTCTCGGAACCTTCCCCTGAGGCACAGAACACTGTTCCGAAGAACAGAGGGCTTCAGAGAAGCCCCGCCGCCTTCAGAGAACGCCTCCTCCTTTTCACTTTTCCCCTTTGCTCGCCGCCGATGTTTGCCACTCGCCAATTTGGGGGGGGTGCCCGCGCGAATGGGCGATCTGTCGCCTCCGCCCAAACTCCGCGCGCACTTCGTCCGGAAATGGTGTTCCGCGCGAGCGCAGCGCAGGGTTCGTTCGCCGAAACGCATTCAAGCGACAGCGGCAGCGGGGCCGCGCGCGACCTGGCGACATGCCGACATCGCCCAAAACATCTTCTTTGCGGATTCAGATTGACTCCGACCAGTCCCTACTGATCCCTACTGATCCCCATGCTTCCTACTGACTCCCATTGGTCCCTTTGGGTTGCTACTCATTACTATTGATCCGTATTGGTTCCGATTGATTTAACGGTTCCCATTGATTCCTGCTAGCTCATATGTTTCCGAACTGTTGCTGTTGCTTCCGAATGACGTCGACTGATTCCGACTGATTCCCACTCATCCCTAATCCTGCTGCTTCCCCACAGCTTTCATCCAATTATAATGATTCCGGCTTCCCTGGGATTCCAGAAGGCGCCGTGTAATTCCTGCCGGTCCCGAATGATTCTTTTTGATTCCTATTGATTCCGACTGACTCCGATTCATCCCGACATATTCCTACTGATTCCTATTGAACCCTGCTCTGCTCGAACTTGCCGCGCGCGGTCGTCTGCGCGACGCGACGAAGCGGCGTCGCCGCGCCCCGCGGCGCGGAGTCCCTCGGGGCCGCGCGCAGACTATGAGAACGCCACCCCGCGACACATGGCGACAAACCCAGACCCCCGACGTCGTGATTTTTTCACGACGTCGACCCCCAGAGGTCTGGACCCCTTCCCCGGGACCGGTTCTTCGTCCTGAGTCGTTTTTTGACGCTCCCGAGGCCCGGGGAGGGCCCCCGGGGGCCGAAAATCGCGAAAAACCTCCCGTCGTGATTTTTTTCACGACGCCAGGAGGTCTGGGAAGCAAGCGCGTCACATCTCGACCAGCGCGTCCGCATCTGCCTGTCGCGGCGCCGAACGCAGGGACGGGGCGCCCTCGACGCGAAGCTGGGCGCTCCGCGAGGCCGGCGCGGGAGGGGGAACTGGGGCGGAGAAGCCGACGCCCCTCTTCGAATGTCAGGCGACACCGCTGCGGGAGGCTGAGAT